ACAAATGGGTTGAGAAAGAAATTAGGGAAACATCACCCTTCCCAATAACCACAAAGAATATAAAACATCTTGGTGTAGCTCTAATCATGCAAATGAAAGACTTGTTTAACAAGAACTTCAAGTCTTTGAATAAAGAAAATATCAGAATATGGAAAGATCTTCCATGCTCATGGATCAGTAGGATTAACACAGTAAAAATGGCCATCTTTCCAAAAGCAATCTACAGATTCAATGCAGTTCCCATCAAAACTCCAACACAATTCTTTACAGACCTTGAAAGAACAATTATCAACTTCCTATGGAAAAAAACCCAAACAAACAAAGAAACAAAACAAAACAAAAACAAACAAACAAACAAACAAATAAAAACCCAGGATATGGAAAACAATCCTGGAGGTATTACCATCCCTGATTTCAAGCTGTACTATAGAACAACAGTAATAAAAAGTGCATGATACTGGCATAAAAATAGCCAAGTTGATCAATGAAATCAAATTGAAGACCCAGAAATAAACCCATGCACATACGGACATCTGAATTTTTACAAAGAAGCCAAAACCATACATTGGTTAAAACAAAAAAAAAAAAAAAAAAACAAAAACAAAAAAAAAAAAAGCATCTTCAACAAATGGTGCTGGTCTAACTGGAAATCTACATGTAGAAAATGCAAATAGATCCATATTTATCACTCTGCACAAAACTCAAGTCCAAGTGGATCAAAGATCTTAACATAAAACCAGAAACACTAGATCTATTAGAAGAGAAAGTGGGGAAGAGCCTTGAACTCATTGGCACAGGAGATAACTTCCTGAACAAAACACCAACAGCTCAGGCTCTAAGATCAACAATTAATAAATAGGACTTCATGTAATTGAAAAGCTTCTGCAAGGCAAAGAACACTGTCAATACAACAAAATTACAGACTACAGACTGGGAAAAAAATCTTCACCAACCTTGCATCGGACCATATCCAAAATACATAAAGAACTCAAGAAATTAAACACCAACAGACCAAATAATGCAATTAAAAAGATAAAGAGCTAAACAGAGAATTCTCAACTGAGGAATATCGAAAGGCAGAGAAACACTTAAAGAAATGCTCACCAAGAACCAAGCATGGATATAACCTAGAACCCCTGTTCAAATGTGGCCCATGGCAGCTCAGTATCCAAGTGGGTTCCCTAGTAAGGGGAAAAGGGACTGTCTCTGACATGAACTCAGTGGCTGGCTCTTTGACCTCCCCAACCCACCCCTCCGTGGGAGGAGTAGCCTACTAGGCCACATGGGAGGACTTTGCAGCCAGTCCTGATGAGCCCTGATAAGCTAGGGTCAGATGGAAGGGGGGGAGGACCTGCCCTATCAGTGGACTTAGAGAGGGGCAGGGAGGAGATAAGGGAGGGAGGATGGGATGGGAAGAAATGAGGGAGGGGCTACAGCTGAGATACAGCTGAGACACAAATAAACTGTAATTAATATAAAAAATAAAAATTTAATTAAAAAAAAGAAATGCTCAGTGTTCTTAGCCGTCAGGGAAACGCAAATCAAAACAACTTTGAGATTCCACCTTACACCCATCAAAATGGCTAAGTTCAAAAACTCAAGTGACAGCACATGCTGGAGAGGTTGTGGAGAAAAGAGACCACTCCTCCATTGCTGGTAAGAGTACAAACTTGTACAACCAATTTGGAAATCAATCTGGTGCTTTCTCAGATAATTGAGACTAGAGCAGGGTGTGATGGCACACACCTTTAATCCCAGCACTCTGAAGGGAGAGGCTGATGGATTTCTGTGAGTTCTAGGCCAGCCTGGTCTACAAAGTGAGTCCAAGAGAGCCAAGGCTACACAAAGAAACCCTGTCTTGAAAAGACAAAAAAAAAAAAAAAATTGAGAATAGTTCTTCCTCAAGACCCAGCAATACAACTCCTGGACATATACCCAAAAGATGCTCCACCATCACACAAGGATATCTGCTCAACCATATTCATAGCAGCTTTATTCCTAATAGCCAGAAACTGGAAACAACCTATATGTCCCTCAGTTGAAAAATGGATAAAGCAATTGTGGCAAATTTACACAATGGAATACTACTCAGCTTTTAAAAACAAGGAAATCATATAGTTTGCAGGCAAATGGATGGAAGGAACTAGAAAAGATCATCCTGAATGAGGTAACCCAGACCCAGAAAGGCACACGTTATATATTCACTTATAAGTGGATATTAGCCATATAGTACAGGATAACCATTCTACAATCCATAGACCCAAAGAAGCCAAGTAACAAGGAGGGCCCAAAGGAGGATGCTCAATCTCCCTCAGGAAATAAAATAGACCTAAGAAGTGGATGAAGAGGGAGAGCTGGGTGGGAAAGGGCTGGAAAGGGAACGAGGGTGGTGATCAGGTGGGGGAGAACAGGGGTTGGGAGGTGAGGGGGCTGAGGATAGAGAAAGGGAACCAAAGGGGGGGTCATCTCTGGGATAAGATGGAGACCTTCAATGGGGTAGGCTCCTGGACAGATATGAGGTGACTCTAGCTGAGACTCCTAGTAGCAGGGGATAGGGAGACTGAAGTGGCCCCCTCCTCTAGCCAGCAAGGACTTCCAGTGAAGGGCGGGGGATTCCAACTCACCCACAAAACCTTTGACCCAAAAGGCATGGATAAAGATGGAGCAGAGATCAAAGGAAGGGCCAAACAATGACTCGCCCAACTTGAGACCCACCCCATGGGAGAGAGCCAACCCCTAACATGTTAGCATGATTAACAGAACTCTCGTATGTTTGCAGACAGTGGCCTAGCACGACCGTCCTCTGAGAGGCTCCACTCAGCAGTGGATCGAAACAGATTGACTCATAGCTAAACATTAGGCGGAGCTTAGTGTGTCTTGTGGGAAAGTTGGGGGAAGGAGAGAGGGATATGGAGGGCACAAGACCTCCACAAGAAGACCAACAGAGTCAGCTAATAGAGGACCATGGGAGCTCACAGAGACTGAACCACTAAGCAGAGAGCATGGACTGGACCTAGGTCCCCCACACATAAGGGTGCCCTAGCAATGAGAACAGGACTGTCTCTGACATGGACTCTGTTGCCTGCTTTTGGATCACTTTCCTCTAGCTGAGTTGCCTAACCCCTCAGGGGAAGAAGATGCCCTTAGTCCTGATGTACCAAGACGGGTTGGTTGGGGGGAGGCTCCCCTTTTCTGAAGAGAAGGGGAGTATTTGGAGAAAGAGGGTGGGAGGGAGCTGCAATAGGGATGTAAAATGAACAAGTAAATTTTTAAAATAAAATAATAAAAAAAATTGTTTTTAGAAAATCATGATGAGATGGAAACATTAATTATCCTGATTTGATGAGCTCATGTTGCATTCCTGTACTGAAATATCATACTTTAATCCATAAACGTGCACAAATATTTCATGTTAACCAAAGATATTTGTTAGAGGAGATGGAAATGTCAACTAACCTGATTATGCATTAACAATGCGTACATGTATCAAGTTGTCATGGCTCTTCCCCATAAATTTCAATAATTAAAAGATATTCTCTTTAATAGCTATATTTCAAAAGTTAGTATTGCTAGTAAAAGCTAGGCGAGGTTTTAATTTTTGTTGTTAAAACAGGAGACAAGATGTGTAGCTAAAAAGTAACACTTTATTATGAAATTTCAGCCTTTTCTGCATCAATTTCAAAGATTTTACAATTAAACAAGACATAGTTGACCACAGAGGGAACTTAAACTGGAGGTTCCGAAGTGGGACCTGAAAAATATACTGAGACTAAGGGAAAGTTAAATGTATGATTTAAATGAATGTGTGCTGGAGTGATCTGCACAACAATTGGTTCCATCTTGCACTGGCCAGTGTTTATTGGAAAGGGATTGTGGTGGCTTGTGTCTGTGTTTATTGATGCGCAGGCCAGCTGGCCGCGCAAAGGAGCGAAGGGCCGCGCGGCATTTGAAGGCGTCTTCTGAGCTGGCTCTCTGGATTCCCTTTGAACTCTTTTTTCTTCATGATTTTATGCGGCAGCTTGTCTTTGTGTTGGCAAAAGGGAAAGGAAAGGCACCGGAGAGACTTTAGTTTCTAACTTAGAGCTCTGCTGTGCTGATTGCTCAAGTGACTTTTCAAAGGCAAAGCAGGTGGGGACATTAACAGTCCTTGTCTCTATAGGACCACGAAATGAGACCACCACTACTACTTTTTTTAATTATCAGTAGTAAATAAAGCAGGTTTCAGTGTATCTTACAGATACCTTAAATGAACTCAGGCTTTTGTTTTGTTTTGTTTTTCTCCTCAGTCTGATTGGCATTTAAAGAAGATAACGGCAGATGAAACACAAAAATCCAGGCAGCGGAGTGGTTGAGTTTCTGAACCTGGAGGAGCCGCGTCCCCAACCTTCTACATTTTTTCTCGACACGGAACCCACGGTACAGACGTTAATCCCGCCCTTTTGCACTGCCCTATGCTGCCCCTACCGTTAGATGGAGAAACTGCAGGTAAAGGTTAGAGGTGATAAGGCGTTGGGCTAGGGAGGGCGAAGTCGCCCTGTCACTGCCTGAGTCCAGACGCTTCAACTTTTGTTTTAAGGGGGGCGGGGGGAGATCACCACTCTGGGTCTAGAATGAGCGAGAGAACTAAAAGGCTGCTGCTGAGTGCCCACGAGGCTCAAGAACCTCCCTGGAGACACAGCCCAGCCTCCCCTCCCCCGCCTCGTTCCTGGGGTAAAGAGGGCCGTGGCCCTGCGACTTTCCTGCGGGTCTTTGACAGCACGCTGCCTCGTCGGGGTCTCGGGCTCTTCTTTCCACCCCTTTCTTCCGACGTGAGGCCAAGCCACCCGGCACCCCGGCGGGCGGGAAGGGTAACACCGAGGCTCGCGCCCCTCCTCCCCCGCGCCGTGGTTCCAGACAGTGGAAGACCCTCGGGGATAGGTGGGGGTGTGCTTTGGGGGTGCCGGTGGACAGCCCCAGGGGGCGGGGCGGGCGGCGGGGGGAGGGGTGCGCTGCCCTCGCGGCGGCGCAGAGCGCGGACACCGCACGCGTGGGCCGCTGCCCCGTCGGGGCGACAGCCCGCGGAGGTCCCCACCGGGACCCGCGGTGTGGCGGGCGGGCGCGGGGGGCGGCGCTGGCGGCGTGAAAGGCGCCTTTGTGCGCGGCCCGGCGGAGGAGAGCCGAGCCGAGCCGGAGGCGCCCCGCGCTCCCGGCCGTCGGGTCTCCGGCGGGACGGTCGGGGGGGCGCGGTGGGGCGCGCGCCGGCGCTGCGGGGAGCGCCCGCGGCGGGGGCCGGGCAGCGGGAGTGGGAAGGGCGCAGCGTGGAGGAAGTTGGGGAGAGGGACCTGTCTCCCCGCCCTCTCCCCCTAGGTGGCGGAGAGGCCCCGCCGGCGGGCTGGCTGTCGCTCCGGAACCGGCATCTGGAGGGCGGCCCCCGGGTGGAGCCTCCCGCCGGCCGCCCACCTGGGGCCGCGGCGCGGCCTCCCTCCCGCGCCCCGGCCGCGTGGCTTGCGGCTTGTTTTCCCAGCTGGCAAGCGTCGCGCTGCAGACAAGGGCATGCCTGTGGTGAGTTGTTTATTTGGTTGGAGTTTGCGGTGGGCCGGGAGGACGTGGGGGGCCAGCGGCAGGCAGCGGCCCGGGCTGTTTTGTTTAGGTCTCCCTCCACCTGTGTGGTATAAATCTGCCAGACTCGGGGTGGTGGGGCCCAGGCTGAGAAAGCCCTGGCATTCCAAAAGCTCCTGGTCACGTTTAATTCGCAGTGCCTGAAACCGACGAGGGTCTAACGAAGGCTGTCCCACGCCCCCGGCTTTCCAGGGACCCCCCCAGCTTCCCAAGGGACCGTCGTAGCCCATGACCCAGGGACAGCAAGCCACCGAAGTTTCTCAGCTTCACTTCCCCATTCCTTGGGGGCAGTGGAGCTGAGGATTTGGTGTGAAAGGAGCCCAAGAAAAGAGGGGGGAAACTTATGCTGGGGATTTTTGGTGTGAAGCAAGGGTGTCAGGTTGGCCTTGCTTCTACAAATTGGGGCCCCGGGTTGGCCAATTTCCCAGACGAGACTGGTGAAAGGCTGGCGGCCGGCTCCTCAGGGATCCCATAGGAACCCCTGGGGCTGATGTTAGCACAGCCTCAGCTTCGTTTGCCTGGAAGAAAAGCCTAAATACATTAGTGAGAGGGTAAAGCTTTTAAGGCCTTCTTGGGAGTTAGTGGCTGGCTAATGAGAGGTTAATTTTGTTTCGAAGGGAAGGCTGCGCTGGTTTCCTGAGATAAATGGACAGGAAGCGCATTACCTCCAAGCACTGGCAAGCAGCTCCCAAATGCTTTTTGCACCTGCCGCTTCTAGCCCTGTGAGCCAGAAGCGAGCCGCACTGGAGTCTGTTAGGGATCAAGGTGCCCAGGATGTAAGGGCGGGTTATGAACCCCTTGCTCTCCGCGGTCCCTCTCCCTCTCCTGGGGCTCAGCGCTCACACAGAGCCCGGGGGCTCTTCTCTCACACCTAGGTCCTGCGTGTTCTGGAGTTCCGGGGCATCCTGATCCTGCTGAGCCCCTTCCGGGTGCAGAAGGGTTAAGAATGATGTAAGTACAAGCCAGGAGCTACATGCTGCTGGGCTCCTGGACTCTGGGCTTTTCCAGCCCCTGATTTTCAAACATTGTGAGGCAATGAGCAGCAGGGGAGTCCTTACTCCGCGGAATGGGTTACAGAAGTCGCTTGTTGCAGGCTTCTCTGTCCTGGGTGAGCTGTTAAGCAGAGACCCTCATGTTAAGTTTCTGGGTATGAAGAGACAGTACCTGGGTAACAGTTAATACACTATGTAAGGGTTTGGGAAATGAAACTACATCGTGTTGAGTGTCTAGTAACGTTTTGGCACCCGTTATTATGTTACCCATTTGCATGTCCATGGCATGTTATGTTTTGCTGGGTCTCCTGGATGTACTGCTGTTCTGGTTTCATCATTCCTTCTTGAAAACAAAAAGGAAGAGAGAAAGAATGCAAGTCGCAAGACACAGGGTGGATTTTTGGGTTGCTCAAGTTGCCAATCACCTCACTTTTTTCCTAATTAAAATGTAATACTTTATAATCATCAATTTTGTTCTGCCTTCCTCCCTGGGCTTTTCACTGCACGGTACCAAATTCTGCTTGAACTTGCCACACATGGGCTTGAAGAGCGGCTGCCCTGTAAGCGATCATTCAACATGCTCTTGATTTCCAAGCTGATTTCGAATCTTTCGAACAGTCCAGATTCACCCCAGAGTATGTCAACAGACCTAATGTCATGAAAATTGGAACCACCTTGTGGTTTAATTGTTTAAAAAAATACCATTTTCCTTTAGCAGCTGAACACTTACGCCGTAATAAAAAGTGAATTGTTAGGCATACATGTCTTAAGCTTGTCAAATTTTACAACAGAGGAGCAATAAAACACCTTAGAGATGATTTATTTTTTTCCTCTGAACAGTTTTTTTTTTTCTTGACATCAGGATTTGCAGCAACTCAAGGGCGCCCTCTACTGATAAGACTATCTAGAGCCCCATGTATTAAAAAAAAAGGATAGTACAGAGAAAGAAAAGTCATCAGCAGAAAGACCCACTCTAAATTGAATGTACTGATCTTTCACTTTTTAGTTATATGAAGTGTGGTAATGACATGAGGTGTCTTTGGGGGATATAATTAAATACTGAAGCAAAAAAAAAAAAAAAAACTACATTTTGCTGTTAGTCAGCTAGTTAAAAGCACTTAAAAATCTTTATGTGTAAAAATGGTTTGTCCGAATGTCTGTCTGTGCACCGTGTGTGTGCGTGTGTGCATATGAAGGTGAAGGGGACTCTAATCCTCTGGAACGGGAGTTATAGACTGTTGTGAACTGCCAGTGGGCACTGGGAAGTGAACCCAGGTCTCCTGGAAGAAAAGCCACTGCTCTTAACCAGAGAGCCGTCTCTCCAGCCCCAAGCTAAAAAGAGTTTTAAGAAGAGTGTCATGTAGTCACTCTTTAAGATAGTTATTGGGATTTTCTTAGTTGTGTTTCATGGATTATATGTAGTAACTGCAAGATGGTAAACAATTTTGCTGATAGCATTTAATGTATGCCATTATGTAAAACTGTCAGATACACTCCAGCCCTCCCCCCATGAAAAGTCATTTCTCCAGGCAACTCTGAAGCTATTATTAAGCATATTAAAGATAGACAGAAGGCTTGGATTGTATCTTGGCTAGTGAAAGGTGTGTTTACCACTTGAGTCATCATGGCATGTAATAAGTAATGAAAAATTACAGTAGAAACAGGTCTCCTTCATTAGGGACCTAGTGGTTTCAGACATTCACAGTGTGTCTAATGAGTAAAAGAGTTTACCTAATTCTTGACCCCCAATTATTTTTGTCCATTGATTAGCACACTGTAACATGTGGAATATTAATGTGTCTGTGGTTGATAGGAGATTCCTAATTAGAGATTCTGAGTAATGTAGCAGGTAAAGTTGTAAACTGTAATTTAGAATGCAGTAAGTGCCTTTTAAATGGCAGTCCTCAACTGTTTGGGGAATGGCAGAAACAGCGGGAAAGTAAAGTGGCTCCTAGCACTGACAACATCCTCCAGAGGAGAAAACACTCCACACGAGCTGATAGCAAATTGGAGCCTATCCTCAACTCCACAACTGCTTTCTTTTGTCTCCATTTACTAGCCTTTTTTCTTGGAAACAGTTTGTTGGAGTTTGCCCTTAGTTTTGGAGGGCAACTCAAGTAGAAACAGACCTACCATTGGATTAATTTAATAGGCTGGAAATTTGTGGAAAAGCCACTGAGCAACAAGAAATCGTGGCATAATTGCACTGCATAAAAACTCACCACTCTCATTAATCTAATTACCTTGTAACCGAACACGTTGAAGTTCGCCCAATCCCTGACTCTCGCTCTCGGCTTTGAAGCAGGGAAAATGTCAAAGAAACCAAAACACCAGAGCCTCACGCAGCTGCCAGCGAATTCCGCCGGGAGCTGGCTGGTACCTTCTCATTCCATCCATCTGCTACGGACCTCGGGAGCCACCCGAGTATGTAACGCTGCCGGGCTGGTCTCTTGTTTACCGAGAGACCCCAAATACTTGGCTTACGAGGTCCAGCAGATGTGATTGGCTGAGTGGGGCTGGGGGGTGGGGGAACCCTGCTACACAGAGCTTGGGAAAGCACCGGCTTCCTGCAAGCGGCTGAAGCCAGCAGGGCCTGGACGGGGTGGGCGGTGGGGGTCATTAAACGCAAACAACGAACAAAAGAAAAAAAAGTAGGAGGAAGCTGAACCTGAAGCTCATTAATTCAAGGGAAGGTTAAAGGCCGGTTCTCCTGGAACTCGGGCCAAGCGAAAGTCGCTGTCGCCCTTTTCTATTGGGTACCAGAGAGCTGTGATCGCGGAAAGGGGTGGAGGAGAGAAAGCACAAGGAAGCCGGCGGGAGGCAGCGCCCTGGCAGAGCTGCCCCACCCGCTGGCGGCGGACGCGGAACTTGAGTGAGACGCAGAAGGGAGGTGCCAGGGCGGGAGGCACGCTCGCAGCCAATGGGAAGCGGAGGAGGAGCGCGGCGGGGGGCGGGGCCTCCGCGGATTGGTGGAGCCTGGCGGGGCGGGGCGAAAGTGGGGGGCTGAGATTGATTGACCGGGCGGGCCTCGGTGCGTAGCTCTCCGGGCCCGCTGCCTGCCGCGGCCGGTGAGGTTCCGCCGGCCCACGCGCGCCGAGCCTACGCCAGCTCGGGCCCAGCCTCCCGCGGCCGCTCCCGGCGCTCGCTCACCGTCTCTGTGTCTCTCTCTCCCGTCCCTTTCCGCCTGCCCGGCGCGTCCGGCCGTCCCGATGCCTCTACGCTCCGCGGCCGCCTCCCTCCGCCCTCGACGCCCCGGTCCTCGCGGCGGCGGCGGCGGCGGCGACCGGTCTCGAACGCTGGCCTGAAAGGAAGAAGAGGAGGAAGCGAGGCGCGCCCCCCGGCCCATGCCGCAGCCGGAGGCCCGGCCCCGCGACAGCGCCCGCGCCGCCGCCCTCGCCGGAGCGCACGAGACCTGCATGGACGGGCATGGGCGTGAGAGCAGCACCTTCCTGCGCCGCCGCCCCCGCCGCCGCCGGGGCTGAGCAGTGCGGCCGCCCCGGGCTCTGGCCGCCGCCGCCGCCGCTGCTGCTGCTGCTGCTTCTCGGCCTCGGGCTGCTCCACGCAGGTAGGCGCCGGCCGGGTGGGGAGCGGGCCGCGCAGGCTTTGTTCTGGGGCAGGAACGCCGCGGCCCCGGCCTTCGCTGCGGCGGGGTCGCGGCCCCGCGTGAAACGCCCCGGGGCTGCAGGGCTCTCCGCGGGGCGGGTTTCCCGGAGCCCGGGCCGCCTGCGCCGCCGCCGCCGCTGCTGCTGCCCTCCAGCTCGGGGTGGCGGCGAGGCCGGGAATCGCGGCCGGTGCAGACGTTTTCACCGAGTTTGGGGGTGGATTCCGAAGAAACTTCGCCGGGATTTCTTTCGGTTTTGCCAAAGCTGCTCCGAGCGCAGTTTGGCGAGTTGAGGGCGTGCTTGGAGGGTAGCCTCGTGTTTTGGGTTCGCAGCGGGCTTGACAGATGCCTACTGCGGTGTGGAAGCCGACACAGCCCTGAGGAATGTGCTCTTCGGAAAATGAACCTGAACCTTGTGACACGGGATGCCTATTTTTGTTTTCTTTGCAAATAAGTACCCTTACCTTTTAAGACTTTGCCTAGACCATGAATTCCTCTTTAATACAAAAATTAAAAGAGCCATTGTTTTACAGAGATTTCTTTTCCTTGAAGGCCTTTTCCCCTTTGTTTATGATGACACAACGCTGTAATCTGAAGAATTCTAGTTTAATATCATTCAGCTGTACTAAGAACTTTTCTACTAGAGAAGACACACCAACCGTACTAAAATAGCTAGGAGGCTTTTTGAGAAATGGAATAAAATGACATTGAAGAGACAGCTCTTTGAGGTGGTATAATAGCTGCATTTTAACGCTGTCACTTGGGAAATGGACCGGCGGTGAAATGTAGCCAGTTGTGGGTTAATTGGGGCTTTAAAGTAGTAGCTTTAAAGCCTTTGGAAAAAAAAAAAAAAAGTCCGAATGCGGTTTCAGGGAAACTTTGTTAATGTTCCAGTATTCAGGAGTGTTGGGGTGAAAAATATGTATCCATTATGTCAAACTGTGCATTTCATGGCAGTTGAAGTGCTAGGTTGAGCTCTGTTCTCTTGTTCTCTCGTGGGCAGCTTACATATTGGTTGTTGTAGGGTCCTGACAGGACTGGAGAGTGGTTCCTGGAGGTTTCTTTACTGCCCTATGAAAGGCATGAGAAACTGGACTAAAGCTTTACAAGATTAAGGTGCTTTAGTTAAAGAATTTGGAACACAAGGTTCCTTTCAGTAACTCGGTATATGCTCACACTTAGATTGAACCCAAAGGGCTCGCAAGGTTCTCATTGCTGTGAACAACTTGTTGGAGTGGAGCGCCTTTCGAGAGATCTCTTTGAAGAGTGGTGCTATTGAAATGCAGGGGTTTGTTCCTGGCCAGGGAACCTAGCAAATGCTGCTTGCAGATGGACTCCCATATGTTTTACGTCTGGGTCCATATCATTTGCCTCAGCGCCCCATATGGCTCCATAGTTCACTCAGCTCAGCCTCAGCATATCTCATTTCCTTTATTGTAAACTGGCGATTGTGCTGGAGAGCTGCATTCCTGGTGTGAAGGAAGCTGTCTTGCACGGTGAGTCTTTTATGTTTAGTTCATTAAAAAATAATGAAATGAAAGCTCTAGAGCACAAGTCCTTTAGCACTTACAGTAACTGGCACGAAAAATACAAGTCACACCAATTATAGATGATGTGACACCAAAACAGAAATTTTTCTTGTAAGCGCAGCTTTTGAATTCTGCCTTTGGGAAGCAGCATTCGTTCATTGTCATACTTTTTTATTTTGTTTCAAGAAGATCTTCGTAGTTGCTGAGTGGATATCAAATATGGGAGTTCCTGCTTACTCATACACTTCATGGCTTCCTGGGCCACATCCTGGAGAGGGTTTCTGCTCTGCATTGTCTTGGCATTTTGACAGGAGGTTTACTTTACCGCTAACAGGCAAAGTGTGCATTGTCATTATGAATTCATGAAGCTTGGATATTTCTGGGTGTATGCTACAAATTACTCATTATCCTGGAGCCTGTGATGGAGCTGAAATGCTGACCTCAAAGCATTTTCTCCTCAGTTTGCCCTCCTCTGTCTGCTCTCTACAGCCAAGAGTTGTTAGGACCCTTATCCAAAGCAAAAGAGCTGTTTTGTATGTGATTTCTCACAGCAGTCAGCACCTGCCTACCATAAAAAAAGGAAAAACTTGAATGTGGGGGTTGGGAACAAAAGGCACTGGGAAGAAATGCTGCATTTTCTCCCTCCTAAACACTTGCATTACAAATCTCCATGCTTTTCTTACTTTTGATATTTTATGACTATTTGAAATAATTATAAGTAACTGTATGCTCAGGTAGATTTTATAGACCATAAAAAGAACAAATAGGCCCCACAAGTTTAGCGGAAAGTTCTAGTGCTGTCATTATCTGAGGTCCAAGAGCTCTTTATTAATGAGTGATCTTGGCCCTGCTTTCACTTCTTGTTTTGTGCTTGCTGTGTGTCTTATTTTAAAAGAAGAGTGGTATAGTTGTCACCCTGCTGGGTTTGTTTGTTTGTTTGTTTGTTTGTTTGTTTGTTTGTTTTTAAGCTATCCGTGACTGGTCTTAATACTAGTTAGTTGTGCATAATCCCGCCAGGACAAGGCAAGACCTTGAATACCCCTGATAAATGGCTTGAAGGCTTTTGGGAGAGTGAATTTGTTTGATTGTTGTTGTTGTTTTTATCTTGTTCAGTAAATTAAAAGTGAGTAAATTTGTTTTTGAGAAAGGAATCCTGTAAACTGAGCTGCCTTTTTCAGCACTGCGCTAAACAAGCCTTAAATGGACCAAACACATGAAGATGACATTATGCTCTTTGTTAAAGTGGCCTAGTGACTGTTATCAGCCCATAGTGCCACAATAGTCAAATAATCTTAATCTCCTTTATTCTGGTCAAAGTGAAAATGAAGGCTCAACTGGGTTTTGAAATTTCACGGTGATGACAGTTATCTCCCACACTTCTCTCCAGCTAAAGCTAAAAACAGTTTAGAATTTAATTAAATTTTTAAAATATTAAGACACCTTTGTAAATCAACATAGAGATTACTAAATGATGTCTTTTATCAAGATGAAGTTTTAAGTATTGATATCCTGAAGTTTATTGTATCCACATACGGAAATAATTTCATATTTAAAAATAACCCATGGATTTTAATCAGGCATGTTGGCATATACCTGTAATGGATTGAGCATTCAGGAAGCTGATGCAGAAGGATTGTAAGTTCAAGGTCAGTCTGGACCACAATTCAGTGAGACCTGGCTTGTCTCAGAAAAAAAAAACAAAAGTAGGGGCTAGAGAGATGGAGAGAGTCAGAACCCTGGCTGCTCTTCCAGAGGATCCCACTTCGCTTCCCAGTACCCACAGGATTGGCTCAGCCATGAGCAGCTCTAGTTCCAGCACCACCATCTGGCCTCTGAGGACACCAGGCATGCTGGTGGTCACAGACGTACATGCAAGCCAAATACACATAATAAACACACATACAAAACTAGCCAAAATTAATGATACACTGATGTCAACTCCATCCCCCACCCCCACCAATACAAAATGTAAGACATTTTTTTTAATGTAAGACATTTTATATCTACAAAAGACCACAAAAATTTGTTATAACATCTTCCTCATTTTTCAAAAGAGGAAGCTGCTAAGAGATGAAGAAATTAAGCCTTCTTCCATAGGTTAAACACCTATATGGAATTTCAAGCAACAAATATATATTACAGTTCATTTTATGAAATTTGAGATAGATGACCAATGTTTCTCTTCAGTAGATGTTGTCTCTCTTTTGAAACAATATATAATGATTGGTATACATGACTGACCTAGTATTTTTTTTGTTTTTTCTTTTTTTCTTATATTTTGAGAAGTTTCATGAATTGTTATATAAGAGACAATTGACAGATAATTTGGATTTTTCTTTTAAATACAGACTTTTCGTCCTTAGGTCTTCATTTTAACTTTTTCTCTAAACTGTTAGTTTACTGAGTTAATTAAGAAGGAGTGTTTATATTCACACACACACTAGGAATTCTTGGCTTTATAGTTCTCTGATTCCCGTTTCGATGTTGCATAGTTTTTTTAGTTTCTTGTGTTTGCAGTTTACTTGAGAGCTGTGTGACAGACATGTTAAAAGACGTAAAATTGTATCTTGGTCAAGTGAACCACCTTTCTTAGCAGAATACTTAGGGTTTTATAGACACTTAAGGCATTGTGTCTGTGGATGAAGTGATGTAGTTTATTAGTAATGTACCTCAGGAAAGGTAGAACAACTTACTACTAGAATTTTTACCTTGATTTTCTTACCCTGTAGCCATACAAAATCAGGTAAAGAGACTTTAAGCATACTATAATTTGGAATTTTAGCCCTTTTTCAGGTGGGTAGGCTTTTAATCATAGCTATGTGCATAGTGCGCCTCCCCCAGTGCTTGCCAAAGCAAATTACTCATAGGGCTTTAAAAATCAAAACAGCCCATGTTTTTGGCTTTGCTTTGGAGCAGAAGAGTCTTTGTCAAAATCTATAAATAAATAGCAAACAAGAAACAATAATTCATTTGCAGTTTTAATCTGGAGACATTTCAAGACTAAACTCTTCTTCAGTCACGAAAGCTTCCCAATTTTCAATTAACTATATTAAGTTTTTCTCTCAGTGGCTTAATTTGAGAGACATGATAACACAATATAACCTTATTTATGAAGGTATCTTAAAGGAGCAGTATATGAGATAGAATAGACACTTCCTAAGGGATAATGACATCTTTTAATACTGCCCAAGAAGTAATAGAGCATTTACATTCTTGGTCCTGTCTTTTTTCTCATAGGTCATTGCCAACAGCCAGCACAATGTCGAATCCAGAAGTGTACCACAGACTTCGTGTCCCTGACTTCACACCTGAACTCTGCCGCTGATGGCTTTGATTCTGAGTTTTGCAAGGCGCTTCGTGCCTATGCTGGCTGCACCCAGCGAACTTCAAAAGCCTGCCGTGGCAACCTGGTGTACCATTCTGCTGTGTTAGGCATCAGCGACCTCATGAGCCAGAGGAACTGTTCCAAGGATGGACCCACATCCTCTACCAACCCGGAAGTGACCCACGACCCTTGTAACTACCATAGCCACGGGGGAGTCAGAGAACACAGGGGAGGGGACCAGAGGCCTCCCAATTACCTTTTCTGTGGCTTGTTTGGAGATCCACATCTTAGAACTTTCAAGGATCACTTCCAGACATGCAAAGTGGAAGGGGCTTGGCCACTCATAGACAATAATTACCTTTCGGTTCAAGTGACGAATGTGCCTGTGGTCCCTGGATCCAGTGCAACTGCTACTAACAAGGCAAGTGTACTCCTTTTCCCCTGTCTACACACAACTTTCAGATGTTTGGTCCTTCAGACAGCTTATGAGTTGTGTTACAAAGGTCTTGTTTAGAGGAACCATTTGTCAATATTCTTGGAAAGTTATTAACAGGGTTGTTAAAGGTTTAAAATTATTTAACGAGACGTTTTCTCTGCCATGAAAGACGTGGGTCTAAACTTAAATTCACAGTGATATGAAGAATAAAATGTGAACAGTGAAATCAAGTTCTCCAGGGAGAAAAGTCAGGCCTGTCCAATGAGAAAAACACGTGCCTTCCCCACTGCTGTCTTGTGAGTGCTGATGTGTGTGTGACTCTGCTTGAAGAGATCTGCATTCAGATTTATCAGATGGCTAAAGGGGTGTTTCTGAAAAAAAGAAAAAAGAAAGCTGTGAAGGCTGGGGCAATGGCCCATCAGGAATCAGACTTTATTGGAGATTTAGAAGCTAGAGTAAACGGAATGGCTGTAAGCCAAGCTTCCCAGTGGCAAACCCACAGTGGGGCTTTAGTTACTAACCTTTTGGTAACCAAGGAAGTTACGGATTGGCTGTTGCAAAACAGTGCTATATAAACCCCGTGTAATCTCACACCCTCTTTTAACAGTTTAAGTCAGAAGCTAAGAGGAAAGTTGGCAAAATTTAAGTTACATTTACCCCGGTCCAGTGTCAGTGTTCTGTGTTGGTTTATTTTGAAGAAACTGATCATGTATAAAGAGATTTGTGATGCCAGCTGCAAGGCACCGTTGTCTTAGTGCCAGGTAGAAGAGAGTTTCAAGTTGGTTTGCAAGTTCTGGTCAGTGCTAGGTAACTTACCTTAATGAAAAGATCCAAAAGAGTTTCTCCTAGTGGCCAGGTAAACCACCTCCTTCTCTGTCTTCCCCAGCCACAAACCCCTCAGAGAGACTGTCTCTTCTTGCGTTAATTTCTTGTATTTATTATGTCTGTTCCTTAGTTGTCACTGACTAACTCTAATTGATAAGGATCAAGCTTTTGAAGTCTTGTGACTGTTCATTTGACCCCTCCCTTGCCTCCAAATGTGTGGCCTATTTTTAACTGAGTTTAAATTATTTTACTTGGCATTTTGTGAAGGGAATTTTATAACACCTCAGGAGATATCTGGAGACACCCAGGAGTGTCACAAAATAGAAGCCAAAAATAGAAGGCATTGCTCTTGAGCAAAGAGGACTGTTCCATTGCAGCAGACATTTTGGGGGATCTCCACAATGTTTCTATTTCAACCCAGTAAAACTCAAGCATGCCTTTTGCCTTAGCAAATTCCACATCTCAAAATAAGCCCCCCCTTTGGCTTTTACATGTTTATAAATAACTTTATTACCTAGATCTCAGACTATGTTTTTGGTAAAAATGAGATTATAAAGATACACAGTTATGGGGCTAGTGAGATGGCTCAGCAGTTAAGATCCTCTATGCTCTTGTAGAGGACCTAGATTCAGTTACCAACAACAACAACCATATGACTCAAGTTCCTTGATCTAATGTCCTCCTCTAGATTCTGAAGGCCCTTACAGGTATTGGCATGCACATGAAATCAGGGCACATACACACACTCACACACATACACACAAAAAAAAAACTTAATATACATACATATATATATGTGTATATATATATTTTTAAAAACAAATGAATGTGAAGTTATAACGTAGAAAAGTAGACTATTGCAACAGTTTATTACAACAGTTGTGATAAACCTCAAACCTGGGAATAGTTATCCATTGTTCAATTAATTGAGGATTTGTAAGACTTTTGGTCAAATTATTAATTAGTTTTGTGTATATATATGTGTGTGTGTGTGTGTGTGTGTATGTATGTGTATAAATATATATTGTATATGTATGTATATGTGTGTATATGTATATATACACACACACATATATATACATACACATATATATTTACACACACACACGTTTTTGTGTGCGAGAGAGAAATTATAGAACAGTTCACCAGTGCACTTGGATTAGCAAATTAATTTTAAAAATACAGGTTTGTTTTTTTTTCTTCATCTGATAAGAGCAAGGTTTTGTTATTTCAAAATGGAGGGAAAAAGTGGTTCTGACAGCCAGCCAGAAAGAGTGCTTTCTCAGTTGCACACTAGTGTTTTGCCTCCATGCCACTCAGCAAGTTCTCCACCCCCAGCAGGAACTAGACTGCAGTATTTTTTCTCTATATTCTGCAGGGTGCCCAAGTATCCAAAAGGCTGATTTTGATGCCCTGTCTCAAAACCAGTATGATACATGTTGCTGGAGTTGGCAAAGGCCTGAAATTGTGCTGCACAGTTTTACCTTTAAGGACTTTAAGCATTACAAAAAAAGGTGGTAATAAAATAAAAATAGTGAGGCATAATGTCCTTACAAAATACATTCTAAACAAAATATGAAGGTTTTCTAAATCTGTTTTAAAATGTTTTCTTTAACAAAATCTTGGAAAGGTTTTTGTGACTCTCCCCACACATTCGTCAACCTTCTCACCTTTTTATCTCTGTGACAAATACCTGAGAAGAAACAGTGAAGAAGAGGAAGGTTTCTGTGGGTTTGAGTGCATTTATTGCTTTGAGCCTCAGACGAGACAGGATACCAGGATGATAGGAGAATCAAGTTGGCCAGAAAGAGAAGAAAAGAGGGAATGTAAGAGGGAAACCAGGGACGAGGCGTCACATTCTCAGGAGGTAACTATGTGCTCCCTCCACCTAGACCCCGCCTGACTTCTACTCCCTCCCCAAAGACTCTAGTGAGTCTGTCAACCAGAACCCTGCAGATCCCTTAGCAGGGTACCAACCCAATCTTTTGGAGGTATACTTCATTTTCTTACTGAGAATTTCTGGATATACCTAGGCCAGAGTTGAGTAATTCAGCACTGTAGGTTGCTGATATTGAACCTTGCTTGTATGGTCAGGCATTTTTAAAGACCTATGTGCTCTGTCACTGCACTAATGACACTATGGAAAGCCAACTGTGAGGCTGAAGTGTTATATTTAAACACCCATACATTTCACTGCCTTCACTCCAGAAGAGAAATGCTAGACCCTGGGATTTTACTGAGGTCACTGAGACAGCTGGCTTCTGGGAGCTTGGCTTCTTGAGCGAGCCAGCCACAATTTTACTTTAGTGAGGTCTCCCTTCCAAAAGTATCTCCCACCTGTCAACCAAAGGACACCTAGACAGAATAAAATAAGGTGAAGTCAAGAGGCTCAAGAGGTGTTTATTAACTAAACTTTTCCCCACATACAGGCGAGTGAGTTAAGACAGATAGACCTATAGTGTGATATGGATTTATCTCTCTTTATCCACTGTTCTCCCCACACACTGGCCCTCCCCTCCCCTTGTAGAAATAAGGACTTGTTTTCCAGATTGTCATGGTATGCACAAGTTCTCTTACTCGGGGCCTCCATGTTTTTGTTTATGCCTTTCGCCTGCCCTTTTTTTGTTTTTTGTCTTTCTGGAAGAGTCTGTAGTTAGTGGGCCAGCTTGCCAGGGTAGATATGTTACTGAAGGTGGGAAGCCAGGGCAAGTTTTTCATCTCTCCACCCTGGGGCTGCAAGAGTTTCTGGCACACCTACACACCTCACCTCATCTCAGATACACATCTTCCCCACCTTTGGCTGTGAGAGGCAGCTGCAGGCACGCAGCCCTGAGAAAGTGAAATGAGGGCAGCAGCGTTAGGACTGGCAGTATTAGGGACAGAGAGAGGAAGAGCAGTTTTTCTGTTGGGGGAAAGGCAGGTACACTTCATCAGTTCCCAAGAAGCGCTATCCTGCTCCAGAGGAGCCAGTTACCTATCTTGAGGATGCTTGGCTTTACTGTCTTTGCATCCACATTTTCTTTGACACGTTCAGACTCAACTCCTTCATTTAATTGGTTGTGATTCTGTTCTTAAATAAAGGTCCATAGAGAGGATATTTAAATACATGATTACAGCAGGTGGTTGAAGAGTAATGCTCTTGACCCTTTGATACATTCCCAGTAGCATGTATTAAGGTTGAGGAGTCTAGAGTATAGTTTAGTGGTAGAGGGCTTGCCTACCTCCACAGATCTACAAATAATGAAGACAAAAGTAAACTTCTTTTTTAGTCATCAATCTTGAGCTAGCAAAGTGGCTCAGCAGGTGAAGCACCCGCAACCCAAGGTTAGTTCTTGGAACTCATGCAGTAGGGAAAATTACAAATTGTGCTTTGATCTCTAACAATGGTTGTATTTTTAATAATGATTGTCACAAGTATTCTTTTGCTTTATTTTCCCCTTTTCTTCTTCCCCACAACTCTGGCTTTCTTATATGAAACTTGTATCTCATGAAAACATTAGGGATTAGGGAAAACATTAGAATTAGGGAAGATCGGGAGCCACAAACCCTGGGCTCCCTCTCTGAGCCAGAGAAAGCGTTTGCAGTATGTAGGCACTTGCTTGCCCTTAGGGAAGGGGCTGCTCCGTGTGCTTGCCTGGTGAGTGGGCACTCTTGCTCTTGCAGTGGCCACCAGCCCGTTATCCTGTGGGCAGCACCTAGTACCTAGCCAAAGCATAGCCGGATGCCCAGCTTATCTGAGTTGTTTGTGTACATCATTTTATTCCATAATATCTCTAAATCTCAAACTCTGTAATTGCTTTTTTAGACGTTTCTGAGAGTTTCAGCTTGGTTTTATTTCCTTTTAGTTAATGTCTTCCTTGAGCTGTGTAGCCTAAGGTTTTCATTCTGATAAAATCCATCAGTCCTTGTTAACATTACAGCATATTGTGACCACTTCTTTCTGAAAGTCCTTAGATAGATACTTACACAGCAGCAGTGGACATGCAAACCATTCTGGGTCGTTCTAAAAGCATTGCAAAGGCTTTCAACTGTCGTTTTAAGTGCATCTCTGGATCAAGGTTTGGAAATCTGGCCTCTCTTGACCACACGCCTTAGTACATTTTTTCCTTGCAGCCAAGTGTTTACAGTGCTTTGTGTTAGTAACTGTGGATCCCTATGAG